CTATTGGGCAACAACAACAATAACAGCTACAGTAATACTAATAATAACCAGTATACCTTGTAGCTAGTTTAAATACTTCAGTTGCACAGGCAGCTAAAAATAATAAAAATAAGATAGAATTAATTTTGAATGTGAGACAAACCGGCTATCACTGCGTTAGTGGACGCTACAGCTGGAATAATGTGCTTTATAACGCCTTGGGAAGATAATTAATAATTAATATTTTAAATAAATCCTCTCATTTATATTCACTTACCTTGTGTCAGCCGATAGCTGACCCCCTGTATCCTAAACTCCTCTGCTCTTTGTTGTGCCTTTTCAAAGAGCCACATTATATGGTCTGGATTATCGCCATCAATAGACACGCCTTCTTAATGACGAGACAAAGAACCTTATCTTTGTTGTTATCACTACTTACCACCGAAAGGTTTCTCTTTTGGCCAGAGAATTATTTTAGAATATTCAATACAGTGTTCAGGTAGGCGTGGTTTTGTAGCAATTGTACATAATGGATAATTGATCTAATAATGAAAATTATATGAGCAACTTAAAAATTCATTAAAAATCCAACTTTGATTGAAATCAGTTCAAACTTTCTACACACCATAAGAACATGTATATGCATCAGAAAAAATTATAAAAATGTAGAATTCTCTCCTAGCAATTATTGGCAAAATACCCTGTACTATAGTACATGATGCTTCATCAAATTTTGAGCTTTAGAGATTATTATTATTATTATTATTATTATTATTATCATCATACTTGAGGTGGGTATAAGTCCATAGTGCAGTCCATACAAGCAGTCATTCCTGCTAGTATGACTCTAGCATGACCTTTGAACCCTTCAGTCCCTCCATCAACCAGTGGTATGATACTGCTGGGGTCTAACTGATCATTATCATCGTATTGTAACAGACTAAGCTAACAACGAGAGAGGAGACATAAGAGGTACATGTTCCCTCATCCCTTACCACCATTCCATTGATCCATCTCCTAGCTACTACCGAG